CAAATCGATATTTTCCTTTCCTTGACAAACTGTTAACTCAAATCAAATCTTAACAAAACCATCTCCTACATTAAACTCAATCAATTCAAACCTTATTAGAGCCTAACTAAATCAAAACTTTCATTGCCATCCCCTACACATACTCAAATCAAATCTTACCAAAAAACTAGAACATGATGGGTGTAAGTTAGATGTTGGACACTACTGGCATTGAACCATTAGAATATGGTGGGTGTAAGTTATTGCCTCTGCAATGCACGGACAATTAGCTGATGTATAGATTGTTTTCAACTTTTAACTACATGTTTTGCATGGCAAATTTGCCCCAAACCTCCGAATCAAGACATTTGGTAACCAAACAGATAGAAAAAAAATTACATGTTCCACAACGAAACAAGACATCGATGAACAATTTGACTGGTTAGATCCTAAACATTAGTTATGCTGGCTTGTCTCCTGGCTGACACAATTTTTCCAGGGACGACTCTAACATTCAGCCACACAGAATTTCATGGTCATTCTGGTCGAAATAGGGAATGTACATGGTGGAATCAAACTCTTTCGAGCTCGGTGTTGTGCTTGCCCAGCTGGTCCTTAAGTTCTTTCTGCCACCCTTCAATGAGACTCTTGTGCTTGGCAATGAGCTCAGACTTGGTCTTCAGTTCTTCCTCCATTGTAGTAATCTCCTGCAGCTCAAACATGAAAATATGTTCAGAGCTGGCAATTTATTTATTAAGCTTCAAGGCCATACTGCATATGAATTTTCTCAACTTGCAGGTACTTAAGATTTGTCCCCCTAAAGTAGTGATCTAAACACTCTTATATTTCTTTACAGAGGGAGTACAAGATAATATACAGAATAAACAAAGCCTGCCTTTGAAGTGTTTAATTGTACCCGTGTCAACATAATTACATATTCATGCCGGAAACCATTTTTGTTTTATCTTCAAGCAAAAAAGATTTTTAAGAAGGCTACTGGTTTCTTAAGATTCTTCACTTCTGAATCTGTCTGAATGTTTCTTTTTATACCATTTAATAGTACGGAACTGAGGCTGAATAGCACAAAAGCATTGCATCAAGTCACTCAATCACAAAAATTATGCTCCCTGCGAACATACATGTGATTTTTTTTTATAAAATTATATACTTGTGCAGTACACAATCGAGGCTAATAATAGCACAAAAGCGTTGCATCAAGCTCCTCAAGCACAAACATTACACTCCCTATTCACATACCTATGCTTTTTCACAGAAGTGAAAGTGAGGTCAGATTAAAATTAGAGCTGCTTTTACAATGGTGCCCGTAGTACCAAATGTAATTTTCTTCAAACAAACATGTTACCAGAAGATAATATTAAATGCTTTTGCAATTTCTCGGGCAACTGAGAAACAACTCTTTAAGTCGATGCTTAGAACCATCCAATCTGAACATCGGAATTTGTTCCAAGGGATGAGAAGATATTGATCGGATGGCTATCAATGTCGACTGTATGATCACTCCCACGCCCATTCATAGCTGATAAACTCATGCAAGAAACTACCACTCCCTCTGTAACTTAATGTAAGACGTTTTTGCAGTTCAAATTGAACTGCAAAGATATCTTACATTACGAAATAACAAAAATAAAAAATCCCCTCTCTAAAAATTCAATTCGCCAACTTGCTTTTAAAGCCCGCTTGCGGCGTATCTTCAGCACTTGCCATGCTGTGCTTGAGACTACTGCCTTACCCAAATATGCCATTAATATTATAGTTGATAATAGTAAAAGTTATAGTTAAAATTAGTTACCTTTAAGGACCACCTACAATCATAAGGGTTGGACTATGGGTTGATCAACTCATGTCAAGAATACTGCCAATGAAACTAAACCAAAACTGTCTGAATTCCTTTTACCACCCTCTCCCTGGCCATTCCAACTCAGGTGTCACCACTCACCTATGACGCCACTATGGTGTAACAAACCTCGCCCACCCTCAGCCTAGTAGCAGCAATGCAAGAGTACCCTATAGGTTTATTCCTAGACCCCCAGAACAAACTCCCACTGCCTCTCCCCTACCGTAGTACATGTTCATTCAACCTGCAGTCAGAAAGCAATGAAGTGATCCCAAGTGAAGGATCTAGCTGAAGAATCACACCTTACGAAGCAGTTCTTCGGTTGTTGGTTGGTCCTCGCGCTGCATGCCGATGAAGTAAGACTGAAGCTTCTTGGCGGCCTCCATGAAATCCCTGGCGTGCCTCTCGACATCAACTGTCCACAGCAAAACCTCAGTCATCATCTCCAATTTGGCACTAGTAAGTAACACGGCAATCGGAACTACAGATACACAAATTGCTCTAGTCTAAGCACCTGATGTCTAATCTACCGGGAATCAAACGGGCCAATCACGACATAATCCCTAAAACGAACACCTGGCGTGCGCGAGGGGAGAGCGGGGCCAGCGACCAACCAAGAACACGAATCTTGGCCCGAAACATGGCCGCTCAGATCGACACGAGGAGGAGGAGAAGGGAGGACGGCGAGAGAGGGTACGTACTCTGGTGGGAGGACTGGAGGGAGCGGTCGACGGCCTGCAGCTCGCGCGCGGGGAGGCACGGCAACAGCGCCGCCTCCAGCGCAGCCACGCACGCCATCATGCCATCCCGCGCGTTTGCCGCGGGCGTCTGCTGCTGCGTAGGCGGCGGCGTCTGCGCCGGCGACTGTGACGGGGGCGGCGGCGGCTCTGCCATGGGAGAGAGATGGAGATGGGGATCGCGAAATCCTTTGGAACCCCGGTTCGCTTAGGCGAAGATATCGCCCGTTCGTTGGACGATGGGCGGCTGTGACGATAAATAAAGTTTGTGGTAAAACAGCAGGAGCAGAGAAGAACTTTTGATGTTTTTCTCCCAAGGAAAATACAGTACAGTACAAAGTTTTACTGGAACTGAAACAGGAGGACAGTGAGGAGTCGAGACTCAAGAGCAGCTCCAACTTAATCTGCAAACCAAAATTTAAGAGAAACGATTTTAATTGGTCTTTGGCCGGTCGACTCGCTCCTCACGCACACGACCATCCATGCAATAGCTAGGACCACCAGCACATTCCCACACTTATCTGTTTGCACGCCTCCATATCCCGTCTTCCTCCTCTGTACAAAACGTCGTCGCTGCACCACTCCTTCGCACCGCTGTCGAGGGG